CAAGTCGCGGCAACCTGAGCAGTCAAGCTGTTCAAGGAAGGGGAAGGGGCCGAACAGGTGGGAGGGGGGCCTGGGAAGGGTGGGGGGGAGGAACCGAAAGGATGTAGGGGGGCAGGGAGTCGTGGCAAGGGGGAAGGGCGGGGGGGTGGCGGCGGCGGTGGGGTGGGACTCCCTACAGAGACCCGAAGTTTCACGCAGGCTGACCGCTTCGGTTGGGGCCGAGGCGAATATTGTAAGATACTTTTTTTTTTTATAACTATTATACTATTATAATAACGATACTATAATCATCCCCATTGCCGTATACTTTCGTACAGAGTGACATGTTGGTGGAACCCACAGGTATGTGAAGACCTACAAGTACAAGTACAGCTCCTTCAAGTTCGACTCCTCCATCTTGCCGGAGGTCCGCGCCATGGCTGAAGAGGCTGTGGCTGGTGGCTCCAACGTGGACGCGCAGTTCGTGCACGAGCATGAGGCCGAGGAGGAAAAGGAGTAGCATCGGAAGTGGAAGTTGAAGAAGCAGCAGGTAGCAGCATCAGCTGCGCGATGAGTAGTAGTGGTAGTCATCGTCGTTGTCGTCATCGTCGTAGTTGTCGTCGTCGTAGTCGTAGTTACTCTGTGTAGTACACGTACTAGCAATGGCATTTAGCGCGATTGGTCCAACATGTAGTATTATCCTATTTAGAACACTACATGGTATGCGATGTAGTATGCTGCATTGTGTTGCACCATCTTTAGTAGACTCTATTGTATGCCCACCAGCACGCGGAGGCAGAAGAGTTGAAAGTGCTGAAGGAGCTCAGGGAGCAGGAAAAGCGCATTCCCTTCAACCACAAGCTGGAGCAGATGCACATGCACATCTACCTCTGTGCCTTACATCCCCCCATACAAGAATAGTATGCCATAAAATACACTCTGTAGGATACTGGTATGGTGTCGTTTCTGGCCTAGTACGCAGTACAGGGTCCCCTAGCTTCTACCCACGTAAACCTCTTTTACACGCGAGGCGCGGAGCAGGGGAAGGGCTTGGTTTGTCCGGAGCAGCCTGCCGAAACGCTCATGGTGCATGATGGAGCTCTGGCCTCTTCGAAGTCCAGGAGTCAAGCTTTTAGGCTTTAGGGGAGCAGGGTTTAGGGGCTTTTAAGGATTTAGGCTTTAGGTGACAAAGAAACCGAAACCCAAACCCTAACAGGCGACTTTTCTCAAACCTCGGCCTAAGCCCCACGCCCCACCGCCGAGGTCTTCGACAGCTCGAAGACTGCCACCTTCGACGAGCTTGGCAAGCACTCCGGGCTCTGCACCTACGGACCCTGCATGAGATCCAAGGGCTTCGAGCTCAAGCGAAACATGGTGGGGGGAGGGGGGGGGTTTGGGGGTTTAGGGTTTAGGGTTTAGGGTGGGGTTTGGGGGTTTAGGGTTTCAGGGTTCGGAAGGGAGGGCCCTACAGAGCCCTTGCAGGGAGTGTGCAGGGATATCCAGAGTTCTGCGGGCGGTACGTCGGCGAACCCGATCAGCCTTTTGAAAGGGTGTTTGGAGAGCTTCAAGGATTTGTTCTTTTTTGCTAGGAAGACGGGTGTTTCTGTTGTCAGATCTTGAGCTGTGGAGAGAAACATGCAGTTCCCGGGTCTTCCCTTGGGTGGTGTTCTGTCACCCGAAGATGCACAGACTGATCATTAAGTTAGTACCAGTAACTGGTAGCAGTCGTAGTAGTCATACTAGTTGTGGTGGTCGTCGTAGTAGCA